GAACAGTATTTACACATAGATAAACAAAACTATAGATAGGATAGAAGAATAGATAAAACCAATTTAACTAAAATATATACATATAATCTTACACAATAACTTAAAAATAATAATATTGCACCGAGACATATAATATTGCACTGGGAATGTAGAGTGAGTGTAATCAACTATATACTATATATAGTAATGGATATTACAATGCTATGTAGATGTGCAAGTAATCACACTAGGTGTGGAGGTAGAAGATGGTACAGTAGGTGGCAGAGTATTTAGTAAAGTGCAAGGTACAGGAAGTTAAGTGGAAGCGCAGGGGGAGAGTATTGTCTTTGGATAGGTATTCAAAGTCCAGCTATGCAAGTAAAGTGCGGGAGTACAGTGGGTGCACGTACGTGTAATGGGAAGGGTTGGGCTGGGCAGAGCAGTGATTACTGGCTGTTCAATAGCCTGGTTGCATGGGGGAAGAAGCTGTCTTTGAGCCGACTGGTTCTGGCTTTTAAGCTTCTGAGCCTCCTACCACTCGGCAGCTGAGAGAACAGACAGTGACTAGGATGGGAGGGGTCCTTCATAATCCTTCTGGATTTCCTCAGGCAGCGACTGGTGTATAAATCCAATAGGTTAGGGAGCTGAACCCCGGTGATGGACTGTGCTGTCCGCACCACCCTCTGCAGAGATTTCCTCTCACGAACAGTACAGTTCCCGTACCAGGTGGTGATGCTGCCCGTCAGGATGCTTTCCACAGTGCAGGTGTAGAAGGTCTTAAGGATGCAACCATATCCTGTTAACATAACATATCCTCCACAGAGAACACACTTCTGCACATTTTAATGCACAATAACTGTTTGCTGAAATTACATATTTGGAAAAAAATAATAAAGCACTAAATGTGCCCTGTGCAAAGTTAGCTTCCAATACTGTAAACTCCAATATGATTGGCACAAAGATTGTGCACTAAAATTTGCATAAAAATATCATATTTAATTTTGTTCTCTGTAAAGGACTTTCACTTAGAAAATCAACAAAGTGTAATTTGACCAGGAGGTGTTCAAACTTTGGCATACAAACTGTATATAAACATTCTGAGTCAAGTTAACCAACATAGATACTCATATTCATGTGTTCCTTTATAGGAAATAGAAAATGAAAGTTAATGATAATGAAGAAGTTCAGGATGCTGTTAATGTAGGCTTGTGCCTTTGTTAGTCCATTTCAGTTAAAATAAGCTGCATATAACTGCATATATTTCTGATAAGTGAATGAAAGATTTGAGGACAGCTCATCATTTAGTTAGTGGAGCACAATGCCCTCCAGTGGTCTGGTGTTTCGGGCAAAATTGCTTGGCTGAGATCTTCTGCAGAGTACCTAAGACCTATTTGAGTTGACCTAGAGTTATAAACCTGTTAATTGAGGTCTCTGGTGTCAGGCTGAAAGATCACTTTTAATTTCAAAGTAATTTATTTAGATAACCTCTAATACTAGGTTTATCAGCACAATTCGGAGTCCTAGAACTTTTTTTCTGTGTTTTCCTGCCACTAGATGGCGACACTGGAACATGTCATCATGATTTAAATTGTAAACTAGACATAAAAAACATTAAAATAGTTTTGTCATGTAAATGTCAGCACAAATTACCAGGAGAGCCCAGAATGGATTGAGGCTGTACTTTACTTTTCATATTTCATCCATTTGCATCTCTAAAACAGTATGCTGGTGTCACTTGCTGTTTATGAGTAAAGCAGTGAAGGATTCAGAGCAGCCTCGTTTTGCATGTAAATGTCAGACAGACATTGTTTCTGTGCTCTATCCCTTGGGCTAAGTCAAGCTACACTCATAATGCCACACTGACAGCGCTTCTGAATGTTACATAACTGTGTGGAAGTCCTGTCCCCCACCTCCCCCAACCCCAAATGTTCTATCAGCCACAGTGACACCCCTCTGGGGTCCCCCTACTGTTAATCATTACTCAGAGGGGAAGTTCAGAGTTGACAGAGCAGCTTTGTGCTGATATTAAGCACTGACTGTGGAGGTAGGGGTCCTCTTTATCTCAACAGAAGCTGAAATGTCAGAGGATAGCTGCTGAAAGGGGGTGCAATATCCATTTATTATTTGATTTCATTCAACATTAAATGAATTATCATGAACATAAATGTAGCCTATATGGTTCACCTCAAGTGTGAAGCCTTTGCAGAATGTAATTTATTGTTTTCTGTTTTTTTTTTTCGGGGGGGGGTGTTGTAACTTGCTTGCATTCTTTTTATACATCTAATGAGCATCACTGTTAATTCTGATTCTAGCTAAATTAATTTACAGTACTGCAAGTAAAACAGTACAGTAAGTAAAGTAAAAGTTCAGACGTAGGAAGTGACTTGTCATAGTTGCAGGTACTAAAATGGGGAATTCCACAGATTTTCACCAGCATTTCTGTGGACATCAGTGTTATTCAACTCGTCCAGAGTGATTTGATATGAAATGGTGCATTATTTACTTAGATTTCTTTACAGGTGTAGTGACAGGACCAAGGGTCGTGATATCACCATTTTATTTACAATCCAAAAGCACAAGTCAGCCTACACTCTCAGAAATAAAGGTATGAAACTGTCACTGGGGCAGTACCCCTCTTGTCACTGGGGTGGTCCCCTTAAGGCTACATCTTAGTATCTTTAGTCATGATACATATTTCTACTATAATCCATTGAACTCATTGTTTTAAAACATTAGGTTATGAAAAGGTACAAATACATGCTTTACACCTGGAAAAACACATTTAAGGTACACAACTGGACGATAAAACCACTGTTGTACCTTTGAGGAAACATTTACATTGCTTGTACCTTGATGAGTGAAAAATGTACCTGCACAGAACCTTTATTTCTATAAGTGAACACATGTCCTCTGAGTCCTTATATGTTTTATATAACGTTGATGATGGTAAAATAAAGATAAATCTATAAGAAATATGTTTTCTTTGGGTACTGCTTATGTTTATATTTTAAAAAGTAAGTCTTAGGCCAAAACTTTATCTCAAAACATTTATAAAACAATGTCTCAGACATCAGGCTGTTTATTCATATCCATTTGATATCATACCCTTCTGTGATGTAGAACCATTAAACACTTCAGACATCTGGTTCCCATCACTACCACTCTGAAACATTTTAACTTGGTAAGTTTCTCTAGAACTGCACATTCTCATCAAACCACTCTGAATGACTTTGTGTACATAGTAAATAATTAATTATGCATATTTCACAAAATTAGTGGAATTTCCCTTTAAGAGGTTGATAGATTTGTAAATTTTTGAATATTTTCAAATGGCTTTTGTTTGGGTAGGCTAGGCCCACTCTACCCTGGTTTACTCTGGTTTAGTTTCAGTAATGTCAGTACAGTTCATAGGCCCAGAGGTGGGTAGTAGCTCGTTATGTAGCTAGGGGAGAATGGGGTTGGCTGGCACATGAGTTCTGGTCAGGCAGGGGGACCTCCCACAAAAATGTAAAATAAAAAAATGACTGCCCTCTTGTCCAACATTTAAAATGACATAACTTTCAACCCAAACTATGTATGTATTACTTTTTATTTGGAAATATTTAACTTTTATTGTCACTGATATTTTAGACGTTTGATTCACTAAATAAAGAAAATAAGATTGTTTTAATATAGGCTAACAAAAAAACAATAAGTTTTAAATTGGTGAAGTTGCCCAAGCTTATTTTTCTTATCATTGTCATCATTGTTGTTCTTATTTTTCTTTAATATAAGTCAATGATAAATAAAAACATTCATGTTTGATTGGTTCATTTAGTTGTCACTGAATGTCATCCAAGTAACATTATTTCTGATATTTCCATTTGTTGCTTCATTCTTAGCCCTTTAACATTGTGCTAATCATCTCCATGATGAATTTAGTCATGAATGCACTAATTCCGGGAAGTATTTTCTAATGCTGAAAGTGCCTGTTTTTAGCTAGATTTAATTTCCTGCTAGTTGGGTTATTGTAACATATTGTGTGCCTGGGATATATGGCAGAGAGCGAAAACTGGGCCAGCCAACCCCTCTGTCTCCTACACTCTTAAAAAACATGGTTCTTTAAGGGAATAGTGCTATTTAGAACCATGAGTTCTAGGTTCTGCTATGGTTGTGATGTCAAGCTTGTAACAATAGAAGGACCCTTTTTGGTGGTATTTAGAGCTATTTTCAAAAAGGATCTATATAGAACCATGTACAGCACATTCTCCATCAATCCAAAGAACTGTGTCACCATGCAAAGAACCACATTTTTTAAGATTACATTTACTTAAGACCAATTTTGGAATAATGCACATTTTGGAGTAGTTTCTTACAATAAAAATTTAATGTTTTCTTTAATTTCATTCCTCCTATTCAAATTGTTGCGGCAAATATATTTTATTTCAACTGAAAGGACCCATATAATGGAAAACCAAATGGTCCTCTTTTTTTGATATTGTGATGTACTATGTAAACAGTGTTAAAGTTTTAAATGGATACAAAGTGGTTGGAAAATGGTCATGAAAAATTGAATTACTTCTGTACATTCATGTTGCTGCTATAAGGAATGTTTCAGCCCAGACTCCTTTCTGAATGAGGCACAGTCCAGGGTAGGCCAATCAGAACATTGCTCATTTACATAAATCAGTCTTAATGACACAGTGATAGAAAAAGCCTGTTTAATTCTAATAGACACAGCGAGGTTGGAAAATGGTCATGAAAAATTAAATTACTTCATTCTAATTATGGAAACAAATGTTGTTAGTGGACCTCTGTGGAAAAAAAATCAAAGCAAAATGTAGGATCTGGGCCCTTTAGGTCGTTATTTGATTAAAGCAGCAATGCTTTTACTTCAGCATGATTCCAGATCACTCCACTCGTCCTCATTACAGTAATGTATGTGAGCCTACAGCTGTACTGATGCTCCATGTAAATGAACGGCAGAGAGCACCATTGGACAGCACAGTGTTCGGCTCCGCCCACTCATCTCTGCTCTACTATCACAGGTTACTCCACGGAGACGCTCCGGGCTGTGGTGCCTTTACTAGCCCAACACTACTGACAGCACGAAAGCAAGGCAAACAAGGTGAAACCGGGACGCAGGAGAAGAAGAAAAACAGCGTAGTTTTAGATTAAACCCGAGATAGTTCACACACGAAATACCCTCACGAACAAAAGACTAGGTCTGCTCCAGCTTTCCTGCGTGTGTGGAGCGTTTGGGGAGGTTTTCTTTGGCAGAGCAGCGGTGTCTCCTTCAGGCGTGTAAAGAGTTCATTGAGGAAACACGGCGGTTCACCTGGTTTAGGGACGGAAAGCAACCGAGTCTGGAAAAGGTAAGAAAATTTAAGCACGCTCTCAACTTTTCACTGAATTTTAAGTGTTGGGGAAACAGGGCGGTTTAATGTTTAATTGATTAGGCTCTCTCAGGCAGGCTAGGGCTAATCTAGTCTTTAGCGTTGTAAGCTTGACTGTCAATACATATGGCTTTAATTCTGTTTTTGACGAACCTCTGGGTTGGGTTGCTCCATTAATCAGTTTCTTCTGCTTCTTTTGACTGAAAGTTTCTGAATAAAACCGACCGCTGTATCACTATTTGGACTCTTTGGGATGTTCTAGTGGTGACAGTCTATAGGCTTGTAAAGGCTGCAAGTGTTGGACGAAGAGGAGAACCTTTAGTATCGCGATATTTCCTCAGTATATCACGGTAGCAGACGGTATTTTAGTTAGGATTGCTGAAGTTTCAATGAAGTCATGTTTCCTTAGTAGCCAGCTGTCAGTGTGTGCTGTTTTGGTCCTTTTTCCTTAAAACTAATTCAAAAGGGAGCTTTATAAAGTATTATGAACATTTAGAAAGGAAAAGATACATGATATTTTAAAAATATTTTGATTGTATTTTATGCTGTTCTTTCAAAACACTTTGAAGCACTCAGAAAATGACGGCGCAGTTCGGTCCTGGATACCATGAAAATATAAAAATAAGAAAAATAAACTGCTTGGCAACAGAAGCCCTGTTATTTTATGGTTGTTATGTCCTATGTTACATGCTCATTATCTGTCATATTACTAAAAATATCGCTAAAACTAAAAGGCCTTTTCATGGTAGGGATGGGCGCTATGCCATAAATGTCACATTGCAATACTTAAAGACTTTTTCATATACGATATATGTTATGCATCGCAATATTTTGTCACACATACACAATGCACAGGTGGTGCCACATTTAAAAACAGCCATCCAAAGTTCGGGGTACAATAGTGTTTATTCAGCTTTTCACATCCTGTTCTGCACTAAAGCCAATTAAACAGGTCTATGCTATCTTTTAATGAATAATACAGTTGGGCAGTGTTCTTTATATATGGACAATGCTCATAAAAGCATTACAGTAACCATAAAATATCATAATATTACCCACCTCCATATAATTGTATAGCAGTGTAGGTGATATTTCTAACAGTACTAGCTGATACTGACGTAAACCTTTTTTTCCTTGAGATTTATTCTCTGAAGTACTGGATAAGGAAACATTAAGTGCTCCTACAAGACACCATTGTTCCATTGTTCCGTCCGTATGTATTCTTTCAACCTGTCTGTCTGCACAGTGTAACACATAATGGCACACTGTAGCAGACTCCTCACCTTGTCTCGATGACTCTGGAGTCCAAATACTCGATTACAGATCACAGATTAAATGGCACAACTTACAGCAGCCATAAACTGGCATTCTGATTACACGTGTCGTTCAAGGACAGACTCCGTACAGCCAGGGTTACTGGTGCTTATTCACCCTGTTCCATCTCCTCTTACATGGGTTAATCAGCCTTGGAGTGTCTCGTTTTGCAAGGCACGTATACACTTTGACCTGATAGATTTCCATATGATTAATCTGAAGATCAAACCCATTGCTTATCATTCTCTTCAAATAACTCAGTCATTATTCATTGACATTTACCGATAAGGGGGAAAAACAACGCTAAATCAGTTTTTCTCTGTTGATAACAATGGAAAGCTCTCAGCTGTTAGCAACTCAAACCCACGTTCCCTCTACACTTTATTAGAAATACCCTCCTACTGTGTACTTTCACCCACTAGCCACTTTATGAAGTCCACTGTATGGGTTGTATTATTACAGACTGAAGCCCTTCTGTTGTAATGCACAATTTAGCAAACCTCATTTACCACTGACCAGATTTTATGTAGGCATTGACATGTTAGTGGTATGGTAGTGTGTTTGGTGCAGGTATAAGTGTGTCAGGCACAACAGCGTTGTTGGGGTTTTTACACATCTCAGGAAATCTGCTAGGCTGAGAGAGATCATCACCCAAAAATATCCAGCCAAGAGCAGCTCTGTGGTCAGAAAGTGACCACTGGTGAAGAGTTACAGGTTGACTAACACAGATGCTAACACAACTGCTTGGCTGAGAATGGATCACTACCCAAAAATATCCAGCCAAGAGCAGCTCTGTGGTCCGAAATTGACCACTGATGAGAAGCTGCAGGTTGACTAACACAAATTGTGCATTGAAAAAGACAAGCAGTAGGGTTGCCAGTGGTGCCTGGGCGGTGCTGTGCTGGTGATGCTGTGCTGCTTTCAGGCATAATTAGGCAGCAAAATTACACATTTCTCCTGTGGTTTCAATAAAGTATAGCATTTACAAAGTAGGGGTTTGTAATAAAGTTACCACTGAGTGTATGTAAGTCTAAATTGCTCTGCCCATTTCAGATATAACACATTTGTCACTGTCTGTTTAGGTTTTAGTTCTGCACCAACAAAACCATTATTATTATTATTATTATTATTATTATTATTATTATTATTATTATTATTATTATTAATGCTGGTGCTTCTTATCAACATCATTGCTGTTTCTGGTGATGCTCACTGAGAAAAAGGCATACTCCCATTTTTAGTGCCTATAAAAAGAATCACTATCTATCACTAAGGAAACTGAGAGTGTTCATTTATCTGGCACGGAAAACACAGCATGGTATTGTCTCTGTTAGCATACGTGTGATGGGTGATACTGGGAAATTGCCTGCTATTACTGTCAGTCCTAGAGGGAGTGTAGATTTGCTCTGTCTTTGATTAGGTAGTACCCCCCACGCACGTGTCCAGTAATTACGTACTGTGCGTTTTGTCTCAGAGCCCACTGACTATATACCGAAAAAAAAAAGAAATCGACAGGGAGCTTCACCTACATCCAGTTACATATTTAAAATGTGAGATTGAGTTATAATGAAACTGGAGGACTTTTCTTCCTATCATTCCTAGACGAAGTCTGTTTTTAGCTGCTGAGTTTGCGAGAGAGTCTCAGATGATTAGATCAGTAAGAATTTTCTTCAGTAATTGGCAGAAATTAAAGCAATTATGATCCCCCACTGGCATCGGCATCTTATCTGTATTGTCTTAAGTTTGATAAGATTGAAGTGCATGAAGACACAGGCTTATTGTTGTCCTTCTATACATCTAAGCACTCAGTGTTTTAGCCCAATCACACTTAAAGAAAAGAAAGTTTATGCTATAGTAACTGCAGGTGTCAAATCCAACAGAGCGGCCTAAACAAAACCCCATGTTCTGCTGCAAATTTACAGCATTTCTGGGTTTTTCCCTCATAAAACAAACATCCCTTCTCGTTTTATGTTTTCTCAATCACTGAAATGGAAGGTTTAACCAGAAGGTGAAGACAAAGTAGAATGTGGTCTAGTGTTCACTAAGAATGCTAAGGACACTCTCTAGCATCAGTGTCTTATCGTTCAGCCTGGGGAAAAGTATAAGTTAAAACTGGTATATCTCCACTATTCCATGACTAAATTAAATGATCATGATAAATGAGTATGATTGTTGAGAGTTTAGGGGGTTTTCAATAATGTTTCTCTTTTGCTTCAGCAGTCAGGATGCAGTGCTTTTGAGAATATTGATAGCAGGCGGGTTACTTATTCATATTCACAGTTTGCTGCATGCTAGAGGTGACAGCACAACTAAGAGCTGGGATTTTGGAGCTATAACAAAAATGGGTTATTATACAAATTTGGCACATTTTAACATTTTGACAGGTTGTGCCAAGTTAAACAAGGTGAGGCAAGAGGCCTAGGCATGAGATTTTTCATGGGGCACAGAATTGCTACCCACTAGTACCCTTCACACAGTTGTGCTCATCTCCTTTCCTGTCCATTCTGAAAATAATGTATATATAAATTATATAATTTAACAGTATAAATCAGCACAACCTTAATTATGTTGAATGGTGGGCTTGATAAAAATGATGTAAGAAACTAGTAGGTTTGTGCATTATGCACTCTTGCAACCTTAATTAGAGTTGAATTTAGGGCAGCTTGTTCTGCGGAGCATGTTGGGCAGAACCCTACTGAGTAGCAGCCAATACAGATGGCTACCTGATATCTTGCTCCTTCTGACAGATGGCACTGATGTGCTATTTGCTCTGGGATAATTAGAAGCTTAGACAGAGTTATAGAGAAATCAGAATTTTTGGAGTTTGACGTAGTTCATAAACATTAAGGATTCCAAACCTACCATTATTTCCCCAGTCCATATATGGAAATTAAGCTGCAAAACATTAAGCGGTTTAAAATTCATTGTTTTTTTATGGTGTCACAAAAACCAATGCATTTACATCTATGTGCCTCTTCAGTCTACAAAGGTTTAGCCCCACCTATTCACTATACAAAGTTATATAGTGTTTCACCCCAAAACGGTTTTGGAATGAGGTACAATACAGGGAGCCAATTAGAACAGAGCTTGTTTACATATCAGTCTTAAAAACACAGCATGTTTAATCCTAAAGGATAAAGAGAGGTTAGAAAATGAATGACTGACTGGTCATTTGGGTACACAAAACCCACATAAATGTGGCCCCTTTAAAAAGTTTGATGTCCTCCTTTTTCACCAGAACAATGTTCCCCCTGTGACTGCATGCCTTGCATGCCTTTGTCATCTGCAGGCTTTCCAGGCAACCATATCAGCACCTACTGTATGATTAAGGGCTGAGCCAGAATTACCTTCTCCTCCACAGCAAGCCAGGCACGTTAACTGTGAGAACCAGACTTCTCTCTCTGGCCATTGTTCTAATGCACTTTCACATCAGGACCCAGACAGGGCATCGGGTTCAGTTTGGGTTCAGGTAGTGTGCTGGGCGCAGATGTCTGCTCTCAGAGCGAGGAGAGCCGGCTGAATAGATTTGGACATATTCGTGCATGGGTGACAAAGCAAGGTTTCCATTTGTCTCAGTTAACTGAGAATGAGTGGCCTGTTTCCACAGGAAGCACTTGAGTAAAACCTAGAAAAGTCTGTTTTAAAGAAATTTTTCATGTAACTTT